CATTTATCTGGCTCCCAAAGATGTTAATGCTATCTTACTCTGAGCACCACTTTTTTTTAGCTCCTTTTTGCATGTGAGAGATGCAGGACTGTGGTTCAAGTGAAGAATGTAGTGCTCAATGAAAGGTATGGAGTATTACGGTGACATGGTAACATGGTGCTTGTCTGCTGTTCAAGGCCATGTGCTTCTCTCTGAGCTGTTGGGGACAAGATCTCTCTGCTTTCTGAGCCCCCTCGGAAGGGGGACTGAGTACAATGTGCTCCCACACCTCTGACCAGTCCCAGGCCCTCAACTTCTGTATCTATTGCCCTTGGAAAGAGACAGCTGTAAGGAAAAGGTCTGGAGCCCCTTCTTTCTGCAGGGTAAGGGGTGGGGGCAGTGGGGAACAGGGGTGGCCTCATTTGTATCTGTCTCCTCTGGGAGGCTGGCACCAGAGCCCAAGCCTAGGCAGCTAACTGGTCCCCAAGTAGCCTGGATCCTAGAGTCAAGCTCATGGATGGAGTTTTGTTGTTTTTAGGGCTTGAAGAGCTGCAATAGCAACAGGTGGGTGTTTACCATGTGCCAGGAACATGGGAACATTACCATGCAGTATCTCGGTCAATCCTCACAACTATTATCACCTTTTTACAGATGAAGAAATCAAACCTTAGAAAGTTAACACCTCCTGCCTACGGTCACAGCTGTAAACAACAGAGCCAGGACTGGAACCCAAGTGGTCTGATTTCAGAGCCCAGGCTTTTGGTCACTGTAGTTTATTTTCACTGGAATTAAATGTTTTTTAAAATAAGCGTTTATTATTGAGTACCTCCAGGCAACATGCTAGATCCATTCAGACAATCATCTTATTTGATTCTTCCCATTTTGCCTATGGGGACATTTTTACTCATTTTACATTTGGGAAAGCTGATGGTCTGGAACAGTGGTTCTCAACCTTCTAGCCCTTTAAATACAGTTCCTCATGTTGTGACCCAACCATAAAATTATTTTCGTTGCTACTTCATAACTGTAATGTTGCTACCGTTATGAATCGTAATGTAAATATCTGATATGCAGGATGGTCTTAGGCGCGACCCCTGGGAAAGGGTCGCTCGACCACCGAAGGGGTCACGACCCACAGGTTGAGAACCGCTGGTCAGGAAGGTAAATTGATTGCTGGTGGTCATGGAACTCAGCTTAAGTACTTTGACTCAATTCCAGTGCTCATTCCATTGTGCTGTCAGCTCCCTCCTCCAACCCCCATGAAATGAATCTAGGTGGTCAGCTGTGAAGTCTGCCGAGCTTCAAGGACAGGGACCACTCTGCTCCCCTCCTGTTTCTGTCACCTCCTTTAATTTTCCAGAAGCTAGACCCCAGCCTGCACACTTAGGAGCCACATGTGCCTGGCACATAGTAGGTACTCAATAAATATTCATTGAATGTTGTTTGAAGGCTGAGTTTAGAAGGAGCAGACGAATCTCAATGAAGTATCATTACTAAAGGGAACAAGAGGAATTTAGCATTGGGGTATA